GGAGCCACCAAGTTTGGATGAAACCAGTGGCAAAATGCAACTGCAAAAATGCGGAGGACACATCTTGGCATCACGGATTTGGATTTTTGGGTGCCCGGACATTAGCAGGAGAGGCTTGGTCTCATCTCAGCTCGCATAGGTTCACCAGGCGGCTTCAGGCCAACGGCCTGGTGACACCCCACCTCAGGTCAGCCCTAGCTGCCTTCCAGCTGGAGGGCAAAGAACCCAAGAATGTGTCCACGTCATACTGCGATTGATGTTGCAATCAGCGAAAGGTCGCAAAGGTCCCTGGAGAAGCCATCCCCAAAACTTGATCATGGAAGATCTTTGGCTAGAACCCGCCCCACACAAAAAGACTGAAGGCTGTTCCCCAACGCGGGCGAGCAGCCCAATGGCCTCCCCACTTGGAAGCGGCCGCTGCGCTGCCGGGTCTCTTCGAGGTGCTCCTGGCTACGGCAAAGCCTGCAGGGAAACCTTTCAGGATTTGCCTAGGCCGTGAGAGGTTGTTCCTTGCTGTTGCCGTTCTCCACGGAACAAAGTTTGAGACCACGTAGGGAAACAACAGTATAAAGTGGATCGCGCTTGGGCATCCAAGCTTTGGCGGCGAACACATGGGCATTCCTTGGGAAAGCAGGGAAATGGGGCCCTCAACTTTCGGAAGCCCGCATATCTCGACTTTCGGCATCGGGGTCGCCGGGTCTGGTGCAGGAGGTGGTACCACTTATTGAGCGGAAGCCAGCCGGTTTTGAAGTGCGATAGTCAATTTTCGGGCCAAGCACCCACATATATATATATACATATATATACATATATATTTATAGTTATATTTATAGTTATATTTATATTTATATACGCCTGTTCCATGTAAATACAACTGGCAGTCAAACAAGATCTAAATGATAATCGCTGCGCCCCTGAATTGCAACCCTGGCTGACATGGACCTCCGCTGCATCATGGCCCAATACCATTATTGTCCACAATGATACTGTCATAGCAGTCATCCATTGTCTCAAGAACCCAACTAAGGACAGGACATCCGACTGGATAGACCAATATCAGACCAACTGTCACCTATTTGCCTAATATGAATATGGGTTTGGGATTTCTTTGCCTGAGATCAACATCCAGACCAACGTGGGGAGGGCCAAGGCTTGCGCAGAGACACAAAAAGCCAAGAGAAGGGCAACTAAAGCTGACCGCGCTTTCGTGTTCTATGCGGCTGTATTGAGATGGTCAGCCTCAGCTATTTTCACACTTATCTTTTTGAGCGGGGGGGGGGGGGTTTAGGGGAGGCGGAGATGGGCTTGTGATGGTCAGAGGCGGGGGTGCAATGGGAGACATGGCGGCCAGGCCGTCTGGGCGCTCGCGCCTCAAGCCGACGGCGCGCGCAGAAATCGCACGCGCGTGAGAGCATAAGGACGGAGCCGCAAAATCGGCTTGTTCCCCTTTGGCGCTTCTTCAGGACAACCTCTCAAAGGGTATCCTCGAAAAAAGGCAGCCCCGCGTTTCCCAAGCACGAAACCTTCCACCGCCGGAATCCAACACGCCGTGACTGCCATGCCATGGACCACACACAACACACCCGCGGCCCCCCGCAGAGGCGGCCGCAGACCTGCGGCAAAGCTTCAAGGGAGAGCTCGAAGAAAGCTGCGGAGGTCGATTTTGGGTGCCATCCCTTCCAAAAAACATGGCAACTGAGAGACTGAGAGGGGTCCCTTCAAAAGGACATTAATTTTCCAAATACTTTCGCACAGGTACCATGTTAGTTGGAGGAAGGGTA